TTTCTTTTCCTTCTTCCTTCCATTGCAGAATCCGAATCCGAAAAAAAAAATTGAGAGGGAATACAAAGAAACACAAATCAAAGTTATTTCGAAACGTTCCTTAACATAAAAAGGCGTTATGAACACGAAGGAAGAAAGAAGGAAAAGAAAAAGTGAAAAGGAAAAGTGAACAGGAACAAAAAACATGAACAAACATGACCCTTCCCTCCCGGTGTGAATTTCACCCACAGTAGCACGAGGATCGCGCGATCGCGAAGTCTGAACGCGCTCTTATGCTGTGGGTACCCCTCCCGCTGACGAACCAGTACAAAAGGGGGCCAATCAGATAGAGAGAATTTTTGTTCGGTGAAGTCCGTCCACTTGAGTGCATGCCCCGCCCATTTCAGGCGGAGCTTAGCTTGATTTACGTGTGCTCCCTCTATTGTGACCTATTGAACTTGACCCGTTCCCTTGAGCAATTTCCCTCGTAGCTCTCATTTTCTGTGCAGTCGGACAAGCATGCAAGCGCACACTACTTCTGGTATACATAGAGAGCGATACTATTCGGCCAGGGTTACCATGCGATGCGGCGCGGTTGGGCGACGGGAGATAGAGGAGTTTTTCACTGCTCCCATCCAATGCCATTGTGGACCGCGGCACAGTTCAGCATGGGGGAGGGCATTTTCATGGTTCCAGTGTATCGCTGCTGGTGCGTTCTGTGGAGACCTATAAATCCCTGTAAAAAGCATGCAATAGCAGAAACGAGTTGTGACATGTAATTTAATAGGAATTAGTAGAGGAAACTAGCTAAACCGCGAAATGCCCCTCCCAAGCCGAAAAGCGCCACGAACGCTTTCTCGTCTTGTTTATCCCTACTAAGTGGCTAGATTTGCTAGATTTTTCCCACTTGAACGGCCTGAGGAACAAAGTCCGAATCGTATTGTATATTGATCCTATATGGGATTCTGCATCACTGAGGACTGATCGGGAAAAGTGCTTTTCGTCGGCGAAATCATTCCGCTAACTGGAATTTCTAGGGTGTTGTAGAGTTGGGATGAAAGGTCGTATTACAGCCAGTCGTTGGGGAGGGGGATCCGATGCAGGGAAAGCATAAGCAGTTGAGGTACAGTCTACTTCGCTATGGATGAAGGGGCGCGTCTGAGGGATAGATGTGTTGCGGCGCCACGCCCTTTTTGGATCAGCTGTCGAAGCCGTATCAGTTGTTTTCACTAATTGCTGTCTCTTACCCGCCTTCAACAACTGGTAGGGATCTTGTTCGGCGCCGCGCCAAATCCATCCTGCCAGACACGCCCTTCTCCGCAGCGAATCAGACTATAGTTTTTGTTCTTCGATTCCCACGGAAGTGCTATTTCGCTCGGCGAGAAAGGGCCGGAAACCCTAATACATAAGTGGGATCTGATCCGTGAAAGTACGCCGTGGTGCGTCTAGCCATCTCTTCCCTTGGTGGAAGTTATCCAGGCATTGCAATAGCTTTTTTTGCACAGTCCCTGAAAATAGCCCGGTTAAGTTCTTTGATTTAGCCTGCTTCTGAGCCATTTTGATACGTCAACAGCAGCTCCTTTGCAACCACAGGTGGACTGTTGTGATAACTGCGACTGGCAGATGAACAATCAGCAGGTAACCTAAACTTTTAAAGCAATCAAAATAGGGTAAAGTTTTCGACGGCATTGTTCGGTTTGATGGGGGCATTTTACTAGCTCTCGTCGACCACTGATACCCTCCTCATCATTACGGACTGTCGGGGCGGGTCAGTGCGGCTGCGTTTTCCGCGGTGCCAAAGTCTTTCTGCACCAGTTGTTGAAGCGAGCAAATGACATGACAGCATTATATCCTTCGTATTACTCGTTTTCTACCACTTTTTGTCGCATACGCGTTTCAACAAAAAGGCTGAGAACGGCTTCAAACAGTGTGCGCACTCCTACTGGCTGATACGCCCCGACAGTCCGTAATGATGAGGAGAGTACCTTCTATGGAAACATGTAAATTGCTTTTATGTTATGCTATGCAATATCAGAAGTTTCGTTTGCACAGCCTACAGGACCCTCCAAGTTGAGACGTCTAATTCAACAGGAACTAGCTGAAACTTACCGGAGGTGCAAAATTCCTTTTGAGTCGACTAACACCCTT